ATTTCTAAATATATAAGGTAATCAAAAGCATGACGAGTTGGACGTGGTGGCACACACCTGTAATCCTAGCAGCTCAGAAGGCTGAAGCAGGAGGATCGAAAGTTCAAAGTTGGATTCAGCTAAAAGTGAGGTGCAAAGCAACTCAGTAAGACCCTGTCTCTAAATAAAATACGAAACAGGGCTGGTGATGTGGCTCAGCAGTCTAGTACCCCTGAGTTCAATCCCCAGTACCAAAAAAAAAGCATGACAGATCAAAAGTATGAAAGATTAATGGTACCCAGATTTATAGATGAGTGTGTGCCACATGAGTGTGTGCTACATAAAATCATCTTTAACATTTCATTACAGATATAAGGGTTACTTGATTTTATCCCACCATTTAAATATTAATAATATTAATTGTCACATTTTTTGCAAAATCATCAAGTGTTTATTGTCAATTTTTATGAAAGCTTTAATAGAACACAGAATATGTAAAGGAATATTGACTAATTTTTAACAGTAAATCATAGAATGTCAAAATACTATTTTTGGTAAGGATATCATAACTAGCTTCTTGTCAATAAATTTCAAATAACTGATGTTTTATTCCTCAACTCTACAGATACAAATGTATCTGAGTTTCTGAGTCATTAAATTATAAATATGTAAATATGTAGGAATGGGTTGAGCATCCCTAATGTAAAAATCTGAAATCTGACTGCTCCAAAAATCAAAAACATCCTGAATACACATGATGCCACAAGTGGAAGATTCCACACTATGAAACTTTGTTTCATACACAAAGTATTTAAAATATTATATAAAATTACTTTCAGGTTATATGTATAAGATATATAAAAAACATAAATGTATTCCATATTTTACCTTGGATTCCCAAAATACTTTATTATGCATATGAAAATATTCTAAACTCTAAAAAACAATCCAAAACACTTCTGGGCCAAAGCATTTGGAATAAGGGGTAAGGGGTATTCAGCCTGCCTAACAAGTATGTGTATATACATAATACACACAAAATGCCCCACACATTTCCAATGCTATAGAAGGGAAGATCAAAGGGGAGGTACAGGGGAACAAAACTGAGCAAAGCATATCGTTATATTATGTTGAGATACATATACCTAATTACAACACCCCCCAAAAAATTTAAAATGAAGTTTTTATTCCTTTTACTTGCTTATAAATTTGATTCACTTTCTAATAATACATGTTTAGGATGTAGAAAGATTCATATAGTTAACAAATGTTGTTGGCCGCAAACTGATGCTACCAGAAAATAGACAAAGTAGAAGTTAAATTATGACTCCCTTTTCAATCCCAATTTTCAATATAATCCTATTATTCTAAATGACTTTACAGAACTGCCAAAATCTTAAAAATGCATTCAACATCATTAAGGGAAGATTCAAATAGTTTCCATATAGATAGACAATAAAATCAATTTGACTACATTCTAATATTTTTAAAATTGGTCATCAGTATACTTATCTGAAGTAAATTTAACAAATATTTAAAAATTACTGATTGGGCTATAAACTCCATACAAAAAGATGTAAAGTGTAAATACAGGTAGTCAATTAATGTGAAAGCTCAATTATTCAGGACAAGAGAGTAGAATTAAGAATCACCAATACCATGTCAGGCGCTCTGGCTCAAGCCTGTCATCCCAGTGGCTCAGGAGGCTGAGGCAGGAGGATTGAGAGTTGAAACCCAGCCTCAGCAAAAACAAGGCGCTAAGCAACTCAGTAAGACACTGTCTCTAAATAAAAATACAAAATAGGACCGGGGATATGGCTCAGTGGTCAAGTGTCCCTGAGTTTAATCCCCAGAACCCAAAAAAAAATTTTTAAAAATCACCAACATCAGACAAGATTGTTTATGATGTGCTATGTATAAATATTAACATTCAGTTTTATTTTATCCTTTCACTTAATTTTTTTTAAATGTTCCCTATTATCTTGGATCTTTCTATCATCTTCTAAGCATCCAACTTAAGACAAAACCTTGCTAAAAATGCAAAGAACCATAGAATCCCAGGGTCAAAGGGACCTTATAAAAGGTCAAGTTGTCTATCTTCTTAGTCATCAATACCATATCCCTGCTAATATTCTCTACCTCTTAAGATAAATGTAGGAAGGAAAATTCAGATAAATCTGATAATCTATGAATTGATTATTTGCTTTTCCTTTGGGTACCAGGGATTGAACTCAGGGGCATTCGACCACTGAGCCACATCCCTAGTCCTATTTCATATTTTATTAAAGACAGGATGTCTCACTGAGTTGCTTAGCACAACGCTAAATTGCTGATGATGGCTTTGAACTCATGATCCTCCTGCCTCTGGAGCTACTGGGATTACAGGCATGTGCCACCGTGCCCAGCCTATGAATTGATTATTTTCATCAAAATGAAACAGACTTTTAGAATTAAACAAATGAAGTCTGTCAGTGACATGTTGTTGTAAACCTAGACCACTTGACTTTATACCTAGGACTATCTTAGACTTAAAAAAAATAAAATGAAATGAAATCTGGTAATTTGTCAACCTGTAAATGTCTCATTTTAAAAGTTCAAATCTGCAAATAAGATAATGTATAACACAAAACAAATAGCATATCTGGCATAAATTTTTATATTTTCAGAATATGAGGTTTACCAGTTGGGAGGGACATTTTTCCTAGTCAATTTAACATGATAACATTAACCATAACAAAGGCTATACTAAAAATAAGCAGTGTATCAAAAATAGCATGGAAAAGAAAGATCTAAGTAGGATAAAATAAAGTATTCTGAGTAACAAATCAGTAAACTCTTTAAAGCCTAAAAACCTTAGCAACTCTAAAACTAGTTCTACTCAAACAGAAGTACATGCCGAATCTCCTAAGTAGTACTATACATGTTAGCACTACTAGCATTAGTAGTCAGATCAACAGGTTGTTAGATCAACAAATAGCTTACAAGAATAAAATTCTATTTCCATACTAGTTAAGTATCCCCAGGTCACAACAACTGTGTCCTATTCAAAGACTAAACTCTAAAATAAGAGTTTAATGGAAAAAACTTGTCACAAGGGTTCACAAATTAGGGTGTTATAACACTATAAGCCAAAAAAAGAAGCTCTTTAAATGAGCAGTGCACAGTAACACCAAGCTAGTGTCTATGACTACAACTACAAGCTGAGCTGACTCTTAAAAACTTCAATTTACACTTCCTCTAAATCACAGTCCACAAGTCTAACTTCTGAAGTTTTTAGGCTCTAAAACAAAATATCAAGACCTCTAATAGCATATTATTGAACATATTTTTTAAAAACCAAGGTGCTCCTTCAAAAAATAACCAATTCATTTTTAAAACTGTGAAATTATTATGCAAATTATATCTCCTATATCAGCTGTACATATTACTCATTCTTCCTTAACAAATGTACTTCTGTGGAGGTACATATATTCTTCCCATCATAAATATAAACTGAATAGTCAAGACAGTAAACTGTTAATGTTCTTTTCAACTATCCTGGAACTCAACTGTAAGCTTAGTGGAACATAAAAATATCACACAAATTCAATCAAGAATCTTATATCAATGTAAAGGAGTAATAGCATTAAGATCTGCGTCTTGGAACTAAACATCTGAGGAGTGGCAAGAACACTAGACATTAGATAACATGTCATTTTTCATTACTACATTCTGTAAATCAGAAACTTTCATTACACTACTGATGGTGAATTGGTAATGAAAATTCTCAGCCTATGAGGGGCACTCAAATCTCATAACTTTGTCTACCTCATACCCATCACATAGCCAAAACAGGTTTCTCTTCCTTTCACTTCACACTATCCAAGAAATTCCCACACATCTCTCCCCCTTTTAATAAATGTTGGTAAAGATTCGGCTCGAGATTTCATGATACACTAAAAACCAGTCTTTGGTCAAGTGGGAAGTTCTGCCCATCACCTTACCTTCCTCACCAAGAAAAAGCTCTTGAATGAATAATGCCCTGCAGTATTTTGATATTACCCAAAGGCATTTTGCGCTAATCTCCAAAGACTAGTCGTCTTATTTTCCCAAATCACTGTGGTCCGTTAATTACTATTTAGGATTATTTTTCCTGCATAAAAAGCAATTTTTTATATAATCCTTAAAAAGTAGGCCTCTAGTCTGAGATATTTGGGAACCGAACTTACAAAGAGACTAGACCCAAATGTGCCAGGAAACTGTACTACATCAAGGGAAAGACTAACACTAGGAATAGGTATGGAGTTGTTTTGATTAAAACAGCCCAGCCGGCGATCGATGTAATCAACTATTTAACATGTATGTCTCGGTCCTGGAGACAAATAGAATGTCCTAAAATAAGCAGGGGCAGACACGTCCCAAAACTGGAAGGCAGCGACCGGTCTCAATCCGAGATGATCAGAGGCTGCCAGGGCAGAATAGGGCCCAAGGACCTAAGAAAACTGACTGTAAGGGATGCTGCGGCAGGGTGGGTTAAGATGGTGCCTTCTCCCGGGTGGAAGGCCATAAGAGGAGGACAGAAGGCTTCATTCCGTCGGACTCGGGTCCTTAGGGTTTCCGGGATCACAGCTCAAGTTTCACCAGGGGGGGGAAAGGAGGCGGCAAAACGTGCATCCCGGCATCTTAACCCCAGCCCAGAAGTCCGCGCTCTCCGCTGGCTTCCCGAAAGAGCTAGGAAGTAACGGTCCCCACAGCTCCGCGCACCAAGCACCGTCGCCGGCCCCGGCCCCGGCCATCAGCACTGAGACCCGCGCGGCCGCTAAGACGGTCAGCGCTGCAATCGCCCGCCCGGCCCTTTCCGGGCCTCGCCCGGGGCGCGGCGAAAAGTTTCCAGCCAAAGTCCGCGGCACACGCTCGCGCAGCCAACCGCCGAACATAACCGCCTCGCCGCCCCGGAAAGCGGCCCGCGAGGGCCGGGCCGCCGCGCCGGGACCCTCGGTCGCGCCTCCCTCAGCCCGCGCCGACCGCCGCGGTTCACCTACCACAGAGCCGGGAGAAGAGCAGCAGCGGGAAGAGCAGCAGCAGCAGCGGCGGTGGCGTCGGGGGCGGCAGCAGGAGCCCGGCCCCGGGGGGAGAAGCGGAGGAAAGTTGTGCTTTGCCGCCTCCGGGACACAGCGGGGCCGGCCCCGGGGTCCGCGCCATACCCCACCCTCCCCCCGGCCCGCTCTCCCGCCGGCCCCCAGGCTCCCCGGGCCCCGGCGCCTCAGGCTCTGGGTGGCGGCAGCAGCGGCCGCGGCGCAGCGGCGGCGGAAGGTCCGGCGCGCGTGTCCCTAACTCCTAGCTCTTGCGCCGTCGCCGCCGGCTGACTCTCAGCCGAGCGCTCGCGGGTGCCTTGACTCCGCCGTCGCCGACGCCACTGCTGAGGTTGAAGCGGGAGCCGCCCGCCGCCGCCGCCGCCGCCACTCCCCTCCCCCCGGCACCCGCCCGCCTCGAACTCCTGGGAACTCGGAACGCACCACCCCGCCCTCGCGGGAGGGGGAGAGCAAGCCGACCCTCAAAGCCGGCACCCGGACTCGCTTGCCCTCCCCGCAACTCCGGCTCCCGTCTGATCCCGGGGTGCGTGCTGCCTCCTCCCACCCCTCCCTCCTACACACGCTCCTCCCCCTTCAAAAGAAAAAAAAACTCTTCATCCACTTTGATAACGGGGTTTCTCCCAAAACAGAGCTTTAAAAAGGACAAGAAAATCTGGAATAGGTTAGCCGGCCCCGCCCCTCGTTCCCGCCTCGTTTCCCCCCATTCCCAGCCTTTCCAATGGTATCGCCCACTCCGCCCCTCGCGGGTCCACAGCGGCCCCGGCGCAGACGGAGGCGGAGTGCTGCGGGACAATCGCGCTCCCAGCTCGCCTCTCAAGGGCAGCGTTCTCCCTCTGGTGGGGACCTGGGTCATGGAGGGGGTGGCGAGGAGAAAGCAGGATGAGGCTGCCCTTCCGTTGCCCAGGCTAAAGGTTCATGTCTGGGAAGCTGGACTCAGCCTGCTAGACTAGTCGCCTTCCTCCTTGCCGGGGCTCTGGGACTGAAAGAAGAGACTTTCTCCTCCTTCCTGCTCCCCGGGACAGCTGTGCTCTCCGAGTCTCTCCCTTCTCTCTAGCCCCACTCCCCACCTCGCTCTCTTGGTGTGGCATATTTGCACAGGCGTTTTTCTTGCGCCTTTCTTTGGGTGGGTGGCTTGGTGGAAGGGTCGGCGGAGCTGGCGAGAGGAGGGACCCCAGAAGGTTTGCTTTCTCACTCTTGATTCTCTCGTGCTGCCGGCTTGTCCAATTTCGGCGCCGGGCGATTGGCAACAGGAGGCGGTGGATATTCCCCATCGGAGGGGCTTCGAGGGCGATGGTGTTCTTAGGTCATTTGCATGTTCGCACGCGTAATCTTATTTTTGCTTGTTTTTCGTTGAACTAATCGCAGAATAGCGACCTCGGGAAGTATTAAACATTTGCCCGTAAGTGAGCGCCTGTAGGTCCACTAAGACCCTCCCTCAGCCCAGATGGCTCTCCGCCCAGCTCTCCTCATCTACTCGCCACACACTGCCCGGGTGCCATGACCTTGAAACCCCAGACACTCGCCTTTCTGCGGAGGAGGAAAGGATTAAGTTTGGACTGTCCACAGGGGTGGAGTTGGGAGAGGCTAAGGGTACCAGTCCTAGGGCCTTCAACATTCATTTTATGTAGTCTTGTCATCTCAACCAGATAGTCACAAATGTGCTCCAGTCAGATGAACAATAATTAGCCACCCAGAGATGAGCCTATCACAGATAAACTAAAGCTTGCCTGCGGCCAAGACCACGTCACTGGGGTCCCCCCACATTCCACCCACTGGCTTACAGTGTTTTACTCACCTCAGAGGATACACATCATTCTACGCCCTGCCCGCCTCTCATTTTCTTTACTTCTGCCTCCCATCCAGTCTCCCATCGCTTGGTCTTGTACCTCTTTTATCCACCACCCCTTCTTTCTACTCTCTCTCTCCCTTTTTCTGCCAGCCACTGTCATCTCCTGTAAGCCTGTCTCCTGCAGCCAATGCTTTGTATCACCTATCCTCAGGATGCACTTATGAATAAACCTTGTCCTGCATAGCATAGGGAGATCCCCTGATGATGTTCATAATTGACGGAATGTAGCTATTGTGACATTCCTCAGCTCTGTTGACAGTAGTTTCCCTTGAGAAAATGTCTTTTCCTATTATCCCATACCTAAATCTAATTTTACTGTTAAATTTAGAAAGACCCACTGAGCAAGAACTAGCTAGTTATCTGTTTAGATAGCACTGTAATACTACGTTGTTGAGACACAGTTCAATGTTAAACAACCAAAATTTTAATATCGCTAGCCAATTTTATTCCCCCAGCTTTTCCCTGATGGTTCTAGTCTTCAGGAAAACTAATTCAGTCAACATTTTTAAAATGTGCCAAAGGCTTAATATGGGGTCTATCCATGCAATTTGCTACAGAGACCATGAGTTTCTCAAAAAAAAAAAATGATATGAGCTTTAAAAATAAATTTCCTATATGGGTTTTGAGAAATTAAATAATGGCATGCTATGATGATATTCTCTCACCTACAGTATAAAGAGTATGGAACAAAAGCATTTATAGATGTTATGTAAGTACTAAAATAGCAGCATGCTGTTGTTTTACCTACATGTATTATGTTCTAATAATAATTTGTGTTGATATATCATCTTCAACCAGAGATGGCAAAGCTCATGCTCACTTCCCAGGGAAGGTACCAATTACTATTATCACTACTTGACAGCAGGAATAACCTGGGCACAGAGGTTGAGTACTGTGCAAACATTGCCACCATAAGCAGTGGTTTTTCCAGCCAGAACTGTGTTCTTGCCTTCCAATAGGCACCACTGACCACTTAATATTCTTCTTTAAGTTAAAAACAAATTTACTAAGGCAACTCAAATTTCTACCTCCTAAAAAGTGTCCAGTCTTAAATTATATTTTCATCAGATAAAATAAGCATAGACATACCCACCTCAAGCTTTCCTGTTGGAAATTATGACTGGGCACAAAAAAAAAAAAAAAAAAAAAAAAGATTTTCATTTCAAAGTAAAACCCATTTTTCCAAGGACAAGAATTACTTTTGTTTTTTTAAAATCTTTTACAGTATTCTTGGATTTTAGACCCATTTTTCACTTTCCAACTTTATAGATAATTCATGTAGCAAACTAATTAAAAGAATAATTATTACTAATTTATTAATATTTCTGACACCAATGAATACTAAATACATATATTTACTTCTCAGAAAAATAATATCTGAACAAAAAGCCAAGTGATCAATGCCAGAAATGATTTCATTGTTTTGGGTTAAAAGTACTAAGGGTGTCCATCCCACTTTCTTTCTCAAAGACTTTAAATTATCAAGGTTCACTTACTCTTTAACTAAAATAAAAAGTTTTTACTTTAAAAAAGAAATAATTATTTAAAGTGCTGAGAATTTTGCATTTCTTAAAATCATCCAAATTAAAACTATCATTAGAAGTCCATAAGGGATTGGATCAAAGTATCTTATTTTTTAGGTAGGACATTACATACTTTAGCCAATTCTCCTTACTGTAAGCAAGTCTTTTATAACCTGCTGTGTGAAGAAGCATAGTGTTTACCTTGATAGAAAAGATGAACAATACTTTGTAGAATGTTTCATCTTGGTAACAGATAATAATCTGATGTTACCTACCTAGATTCTCAGAATTCTAGAAGAGAATAAAGCAAATACTTAAAAAGCAACCTGCAATCCCACAACAAGTCCAAAACTTGGCAAAATTTTCATCAATCTCATATCCATCAGATTCAGTGCTTTTCCTATTGAAAAGATCTTCACCCATATAGTTATACTGCTCCCTCAGATTTTCTTTTGAGTCCTTACTCAAGTTTCACTTTCTTGCTGAGGCTCTCTAAGACCGCCCCATATGAAAGAACTGCCTCCACCCCAATCTCTACCTCCTTAATTTTATTTTCTCCATTGCATTTTACTATCAGACATGTATATATTTATTATGTTTCTTTTTTTCCTTTACTAGAGTGAAGGAGCACTTCAGGCATCTATTTTTTTTTTTTTCACTGCTAAAACCCAAGCACCTAGAATATTGCTACATAGATTCCAGATTGAATGATCAAATGATAACTATAGTGACAGCATATTCAAGTGCATATCTAATGGCAAACAAACTCAATAGAAGTATATTAATGTTTAATATCCTGAGTTTATCATTAATCATCTGGAACTTTTCAAGCTGGAAGATGGTTACACTGACCATTGCTTAAGACTGATTTAATTGCCATTGGTGCTGCATTTTAATCTATTGCTTCTCCTTTCCATATTTATTGTTCTGCATTCTGCTTTGAAATTCTAGGACTGGGACTGTGCAAACTACAGTTCTCCTTTACCAGTTAGCTATCTGATATATTCTATCAATAGAGGTCACTGGTCACTGGAGAGAGAGAGTGAAGGCAGGAATATGGGAGAAAGGACTATTTCCTTTCCATTTTCTTCTTGTTCCTATCAGCATCACCTCAGCAATAATAGCCTGTCACTTTGTCTTTGCCCGTTGCTTCCAAACTCTCACTTCCTTTACATGCTAAAAAAGCTCATCATAACCCCTAAATGGTACCAGCCCCAGCTAAACTCTAGAGTTTCCCCATTTCGTAGGTCCAATTCTAAGCTCATCAGGGTCTCTCCTCCAAGCTTCTGAGTTCTAATAATCCAACCTTTTCCTTTTGTTCCCCCAGCTCTAAAGGTGGTAATATCCTCCTTTCCAGCACGTAACTTCATATCTTTGCATCACCTCAAAGTTACCATTTTTGATCTGGAGATTCCCTCCAAACCCTGGTAATATGTCTCTATAATAAGTTCCTTCAGATACACAGTATGGTATCTGTATTCCTCACTGAACCTCAATTGATACTCTATTTTTTAGTGACTATTTCCTAAAAATTTTCCTTACAACAGTTATTTTTCTCTACATCAAACTGTGTAAAATTAAAATCGCACTACCATTCCAACAATAAATGTAAGTAAAAGCAATAAGGTAAATTAGCAAAACTTTTTCCATTTCCTTGGCACTAATCCACAGTAAGCAGAATTGGTGAGAAACAAATGGAGGTAATTAGGTTGATGTTGTAGTCATATATGCTTTGTTTTTGTTGATGTTTATCATTTAGTTCATGGTAAAAAATCAATACAAATTTTTCATTTTAGGTGGTTTAGGTGATTTAATTCGTTTATGGACCTTGACTACACTGAACAATCATTATGAAACTAAAATTCAAGAGGATTATTTGGAAATATAGGAATTGGACTTCTCTCCCAAACCAACATGAAAATAAACATACATTTTATGTAATTATCTAAAACC